AACATTCCCATTTAAAAAATGAGCAAACAATTTGCCCAAAGTCACATAATCTGGAATTGAGAAGCATTAAACCTGAAGAATTAAATCGAAAGAAGCATGGACTATAAGAATTGAAATGAGGCCAAGGTGGTGGTGGCAGCGTTAAGTGCCCTTGTGTCGATTCCATAGCGACCCTGTATAGGGTTTCCAAGGAGCAGGTGGTGGGTTTGAACTGCCGACTGTGTAGTTCAAAGTCTAGTGCTGATCCTACAGGGCCATGCCAAGAGTTTGAGGCCAAGGTTGTCTACCATAAGTCATACCGGGCCAGCCATATCAAAGTAAGTTTTAATTACTAAGGAAAACATTTTGAAATTAAAATCTGAGTTTCTTCCTAAAATAAACAACATGGTAATTTTCATCATAAGGTAATAAGAGTCAAATCTATGGTTTAAATTTAAAGTATTTTTAAAAAAGAAGAAAAATGTGAACGTTCTGAGGCGTGCTTCATGTACACTAATCGGGGCTATATACATTTGAGCAAGTTTTCACCAGGGCTGCATTCAACACAACACAGAGGCCTTTCCTATTCTGTTTTTGCCCCTTCTAGGAACAATGCGCACCCAAAACCGTCGCATTACCTTTGGATATGATATGGCAGGCCCTCTTTTCATCAATAATACATAGTCTTTCAGTGCCGGCCTCCTCAGCATAAATTGCTTGCCACAGGAACTCTTCAGTATCTGAACCAGGAACTTCCCAATAATCTTGCTGAAATGGACCAACCCCCAGTTACTACTTAAATGTCCGGCGTTCCTCAACCTAAATAATTTTTTAAGTTGTGTTTGTCTTCTGACAGTCTCTGCTAAAATCAGCTCCCCAACCCGAAAGGGGACTTCTATGGAAGTTGAGTCTGGAGAAGAGGAGTCTGGAAGCTCTTCGACCTCGGTAGCAGACTGGGAGTGGCATCCCAGGGTGGGGTGGGAGTGATCCTTGTGTCTTCCATGTGTGGAATCGGACTGGTCCTGGCATCCGTTCGTGTCCTCGCGCTCCTGACGAGGCGACACCTCCGGCGGTGCCAGCGTTTCAAGGCTCTCCAGCGCCGAAAGACATCTGATCCCAGTGCCCGGGTGCGAAGGGAAAGCTGGCAGCGACTCTGTGTGCGGAGCTTTCCTCCGCACCGCTGCTTGTCCTGTCCGTGCGTATGTAGTAGAGGACTCGAAGAACGGTGACCCGGCTCCTCTGAAAGTTTCTCGCTTAAGGCCACCCGGGACTGAACGGGGCCCGAACCCATATCGCTTCTGAAGGCGCTGCAGGCGCAGCAAGACTGGCCAACAGCACCGATCTGCAGCATGGAATCCAGCACAGGAGCCGTCGCCGGCAAGTGACGTCAGGCGGGGCGGGACCCGTCTCTTTCCGAACCCATCACTGCCAGAAGTCCAAATGCAGTCGGCTGGGAACTCAGCGGGGTCGTGGGAAGAGCTCTGCGGTTGTGGCTGTGCACAGTGAGCCGGACGGGGAGGATACTACTCTAGGTGGGAGTAGAAGGGCGTTGAGTTATTTTCAAATGAGAGTCCACTTTCCTCATCGGAATTAAGAGAGTACGTTGACAAATCTCTAGTAGCCTGCCTCCCTGAGGGTAGGATTGCAACAGAACTGGTCAACGCACTGTGTAAATTGTCGTTACGGCCAATAGCGACTCTGTGGGCCTTCGGTACAACAGAAAAAGATGTTGCCCATTCTAGTGATGCCTAAGGTTTTTTTGTTTGTTTTTAACTTTTGGTTGTGAATTGAGTCAAGGTTTACCGAGCAGATCATCAGTTTTACATTCAGCAAATCATATACTTTGCTTCGTTACAATTATTACAATCCTCTCCATGTACCACCAGTTAACAGTATTTACCACGCTTCACTTTATATTTTATATGCTTTATCTTTTTATTGTGAATTGAGTGAAGATTTACAGACAAGTTCATCAGTTTTACTTTCAACAAACAATACACCTTGTTTCATCTCAATGATTGCAATCCCGCTTCCTCCCTGTGTTTCCCATCTCCCTTCCACCTATCTTCCCATCTCTTCTCACCTTTGTCTTTAGGTTTATGCTGCCCCCTCCCTCCCATCTTGAATGATTGACCATTTCATTCATAAAGAGGATACCTTACTAGTGTTATTGTTGCCCCTATATAATTACCTACAGTTTGACTGAAAGTTGGGCCAGGAGGGTGAGTTCCTTTCTATTTCTTTTTCTTCTTACAAGAATGAGTGAAACTGTAGAGTCACACAATGTATACAATGTATACAACACAAAGTATACCTGTTGTTATTTAATACCATCTATGAGTCAGAACCGACTCCACCACCCACCACCACCACCATTCAGTTTCAGGAATCCTGATGTGGCTCTATGTGTTAATGGGCTGGTCTGCAAGGTAAGTTTGAACTGCAAGGACGGTGGTTCAAACTCACCAGTGTCTCCTTGGAAACCCTATACAAGGCCACTATGAGTCAGAACTGACTCAACAGCACTTAACAACAAGTCAGTTTCAACTGATAGTGGCCTTGCATATGATTTCCAAAGAGTGGCTGTGTTTGAACTGCCAATCTTTCAGTTAGCAGTCCAGTGCTTATCCTACAGCACCATACCAGGATTCCATAATTTCTCAGAACCAGATAATGTGATTCCTATGTTGTTGTTGTTAAGTGCCATCAAGTCAGTTCTGACTCATAATGACCCTGTATATGGTTTCTGGGGAGAAGTTGGTATGTTTGAACCATGGACCTTGTGCTTAAACAGTACAGAGCTTATCCTACAGCACCATACCATGACTCCTTAGATAACATGGAAATCAACTTTTTTTTTTGCCCCCTGCACGTTTTATTAAATTCATAGTTATATTTACAGCACATAAAGGTACATATGTAGACATATCCTTTGTCAAACATATTTGTGCATATAGTCCTATTGGCCTTTCCACATGTGTTCTGTTTGCATGTTTATGTATCCACTCGTTGTTAGGTGCCATCGAATCAGCTCTGACTCATAGAAACCCGTTGCACAACAGAACAAAACACTACCTAATCCTGGGCCATCCTCACAATTGTAGTTACACTTGAGCTTACTACTGCTGCAATTACGCCAGTCCGTCTGTTTGGGGGACTTCCTCATTTTCATTGACCCTCCACTTTACCAAGCATAATGTCCTTTTCTAAGGACTAGTTCCTCCTGATAATATGTCTGAAGTATGAGAGACGAAGTCTGGCCATCTTGGCTTCTAAAGAGCATTCTAGCTGTATTTCATCCTACACATATTTGCTTGTTCTTCTGGCAGTCCATGGTACTTTTAACATTCTTTTCCAACACCATAATTCAAATGCACCAATTTTTCTACAGTCTTCCTTATTCACTGTCTAACTTGCACGTGCATATGGCTTGAATTAGGTTCTTCTTAGTCCTCAAACTGATATCTTTGCTCTTGAACACTTTTAAGAGTTCTTGTGTAGCAGATTTGCCTAATGCAATACGTTTTTGATTTCTTGGCTGCTGCCTCCATGAGTGTTGATGGTTAATACAAGAAAAACGAAGTCTTTGGTGATGTCAGTCTTTTCTCCATTTATCATAATGTTATTTATTGGTCTAGTGGTGAAGAATTTTGTTTTCTTTACACTGAGGTGCAATCGATACCAAAGGCTATGGTCTTTGATCTTCATCAGTAAATATTTTAAGTTCTCTTTGTTTTCAGTAAGCAAGGTTATATAATCTGCCTATCACAGGTTGTTAATGAGTCATCCTCCAATTCTGGTGTCATGGTTTTCTTCACGTAATCAATCCAGCTCCTCAAATTATTTGCTCAGCGTACAGACTCAATAAGTATGGTGAAAGAATATAGACCTGGTACACACCTTTGTTGATTGTAAATCAGCATCCCCTTATTTCTTAATCTATATACTGGTTTCTCATGAGCACAATTATGTGTCCTTGAGTACCCATTCATCTCATCTCAATGTTATTCATAGTTTGTTATAGATGAAAGCCTTTGCGTAGTCAATAAGGAGCAGGTAAACATCTGACATCAGCAGTAATATCTCTTATTCCACATCTTTGTCCTAATCCTGCTTGAACCTGGCAATTCCCTGTTGATGTATTATTGCAGGCATTTTTGAATGATCTTCAAAAATTTTTTACTTGCATGTGTTATTAATGGTATTCCATTGGGTAACCTCTCTTTGGAATGGGCACAAATATGGATCTCTTCCAATTGGTTAGCCAGGGAGCTGTTTTCCAAATTTCTTTTTATAGATAAGTCAGTGCCTCCAGTGCTGCATCAGTTTGTTGAAAGATTTCAATTTGTATTCCATCAATTCCTATAGCCTTGTTTTTTGCCATTACCTTCAGTTCAACATGGACTTCTTCCTTCAATACCATTGACTATATGCTACCTCTTGAAATGGCCGAACATCAACCATTAGTTTTTGGGACAGTGACTCTGTATATACTACCTTCCATCTTCTTTTGGTCCTCTCTGCATTCCTCAATATATTGCCCATGGAGTCCTTCAAAATTGCAAGTTGAAGCTGAATTTTTTCCTCAGTTCTTTCAGCTTGAGAAATGCTGAGCATGTTCATCCTTTCTGGGTTTTAAACTATAGATTCTTGCAAATTTCATTGTAACATTTGAATTTCTCTTCTTGAACTGCCCTTTGAAACATTCAGTTCAACTTTTACTTTCTAATTTATTGCATTCGCGTTAGTATCTCTATGCTGGGGATCAAGTTTCACACATCCATTTTTAAAAATGTTTTATTATGAATTATGTGATAGTTTACATGGGAGAACATTAACTTTACATTCATCCTATCATATATCATTTCATTGCCATGTCTACAATCCCCTCCATGCATCATCAACCAACCAAAGGGTATACACTACAAGCTTGCCCCCCACTGCTCTCCCCCCAGCCCCCGGGTCATCAGCACACAGCCCCTCTCCTTCTCTGGATCTAAAGTCTCCAGCTGCTCCATTGCTCTATGTCATCATCTCTGCCTCCATTTCAGGGATCACTGCTTCTCTGGGTAGGGTCCTGCTCTCTGCTCTTCTCCCCTCATGGTCCCAGGGACCTCCACTCCTAGACTGCAAAGTTAATCACTCCCCTCCTTGCTATAAAAACATCTACCTTTACATTTCCAACCCTCACAATCAATCCTGATAGCAATTATTCACTGTTGTATCACAAGAGACCTATCTGCATTTCCTTTCATCAGTCCCACCTAGACAGATTGGATACTACTCACTGGAGATTCTACCTTCCTCTACGGCCTCTGGCTCTAGGTTCCCTCTTGAAAACTTGTAAGCCAGTCACTTCTTGCCTTTGTAGTCC